GATGAGCATCTTAGGCATCCCTTATGCCAAGTTTTCCCAATCGCCTTCATCTGATGCCAGGGTTAAGCGATATCTCGGAGTGCGGATTCACAGGAAGTTGCCAACCTGCTCGGCAAAATAGACATTCTTCCCACATCGAGGGCATACAGGGGTTGCACCTCCTAGTCCCCATGACTTCACAGGACTAGTGCCAGCGCCTGCGAGTGCCATTCCATATCGAGTTCCTGTGGAAGTTTGCTTCAAAGGACTGATGTTAGCCGCAGTGATGAGCCCCGTTGAAGTTGGCTTGAGTGGCGATGCTGGTCGTTCCATCGACGCGTCGTGGAACCCATCAGGGGGTTTGGAAGAGTCCGGGGTACATTTGGGCTGACTGAACAGCATGGGAGATGAGGTTTGAAAATCCTTTGTATGTTGGATACCAGGGGTGTTTTCTTCGAATGTCATGGCAATGGGGTCCGGTTCCTCATTTGTCTCTGGCATCTCTACATTGATCACTTCATCTGTTTCAGAACTCGCTAGCTCAGGGGCTGGACTGGATGGGAATGCACGACTAAAGCGTGTAGGAAGAGTGGAATTGGCACGCAATACCGGTGTTGCACCACCTGTACCAGTGAAATGTGTTCGAACAGGCGATCGAGACCCACTGGTTGTGCTTGTCGAGAAATCAACAGATCCATATGCCCTACTATGCGCCAAGGGTGTGGAGTATGTGCTCCTTACGGGAGAACCAGTGGGCGTGTTCACGAGAGATCCATGAGCCAAGCGAATTGATGGCGAGGAAAAGGATAAATTGGAGAGGTCTTCTTTGTCAGGGAGGTTTGCTTGTCGTAAGTCGCGTATCCCAAACAATCGGACGTGACAATTTTTGCTTTGAAAGAAATGTCAATCCAACCCGACCCGTCTACTAGACGAAGGCTCACCAGTACGGCTGCACAACACGCACCAGTGAGTGGGACAGGTTGCATTCAAGAAAGACACACCATTTGGTCATGTTCCAGTAATGTCAGTGAATCTAGACGTTTGCTGCAAGAGGTACACGCCAAACATGGCTACGTGCAGCAATGCTTTTAAATGAAATTGTAATGGCCAAGTGGAACGATGGATCCTTGCCTTGTGGTATAACTGATCAGAAGAAGGTCGGCCAGTCGCATGTGAGTATGAAATAGTTGGTCGTTGGCTGAGCTTCTTAACTTACATTGCGACCAGGGCCCATTACCTAGATGGATTAAATTATTGATTGCAATGAGTTGTAACGTGAAGCGGAGAACTCATAATACCTGTTCGGCAGCGTAGACGGCCTTATCGCATCGGGGGCAAATTGGCGTTCCTCCGAAGGGGTGCATCTCAGACGTAATATGTCGCGCAACTGCCTGTGGGTCATGTGTGCAACGGTCAGCCACGGCGATGACTACTGAAAATCTGGACATACGAAGTACTAAGAAGCGGTAAAACAGTCGGTCGGAAGCAGCTGGAAGCGCTTCTCAGATACGATGAGTAGATAGTAGCTTCCCCGTGAGCGTAGTAGTTGTTGCTAAGATAGTAGTGGTTCGGCGATTTCCGAGCGCCGGTTACCAAGTGTAGCCCAGCCCCTATTAGGGACGTGCCAACTGCAACTCCCGTCTGATTCTGGACTGCGGCGGAGGGTGTTGGCCAAGTGCAATAGTGACCTTCGGTTCGTTGGCAAGGGATGATCGGGATGACTGAATTCTTGGTCTGCTTGGACGTTACCGCTGCATCCAGGCACAGTAATGCGAATCAAACATCGCGAGGGCGAGGATCGCACGACTCGCACTTCTTTACAAGGGAAGGCATGATTCTGCTGTGCAGCTGGCCAACGGCCCCTAGAACGGTTTGTCTCGCTGCCGTGAGGTCTAAACACTGATGGCTATGAAGTACCCGAAATTAATAAACTTTCACAGTAGCAATTCCCTGAGACGAAAGCTATCGACGTAGTATTCAGTCGGCATGTCGGCACGATTAATAACTCCGCACGTCGGAGATTGAATTAGCCATCGCGATGAGACTTTTTTTTCGTTAGATGACTATAGTTGTGATCAAAACAATCGCTCTCGTCAAACGCCCTTCCCTTCGTATTTCCATCTTCTCTCATCTTGTTTGTTTTTCATACCGTGTAGACCAACTTAGACACCCGTCCTATCTACCTCCATCCTTGACGATGTCCGACGATGAGCAGCACAATCAGACCTTTGAGCAGGTCAGCCCTTCGATTGCCATCTGATCACATCTCGATGCCATTCTGCAGGCAAGCGCTGGTGCCTCGCTCACTTTCCCTATGCAATGCTCTGCACTGCGTAAAAACGGCCACGTCGTCATAAAGGGTGCGCTCTTCACTTATCAAGCCTCACCGAATCAAACCGCTTGAACGTTGATTAGGCCGCCCGTGCAAAATCGTCGAGATGTCCACTTCCAAGACAGGAAAGCACGGACACGCCAAGGTTCACCTCGTCGGCATTGATGTACGCACCTTTTGTGGATGCACTATCTTGAAGTGTTTGCACTTTGATCGCTGACGCATCTTGCTAGATCTTCACTACCAAAAAATTGGTACGCGGCTTCTTTCTAGCGACCGATGCTGGCCATGCTGATCTCTACGCCAAACAGGAAGAAATCTGTCCATCCACCCATAACATGGACGTCCCAAATGTACAGCGCAAGGAATTCCAGCTCGTAAGGGCAATTTTATTCCACCCTCTACCGTTCTTACCCAATTCTTGCAGGTAAACATCGAGGATGGATTCTTGAACCTCATGTCCCAAGATTACATTTCCAAGGATGACGTCAAGGTCCCCGATGACCCTTTGGGAAAGGATATCAAAGCGGATTTCGAAGCAGGCAAAGACTTACTTATTACGGTCGTTTCTGCTATGAACGAGGAAGCTGCGATCTCCTTCAAGGAAGCACCTAAAGGGTCTTGAAAAAAGTATGCCGCTTGATAATCACCGGAATCGTTTTGCCTGACTTCTCACTGATTGGCACACTTATTAGGACTTGTAGCTTATTCACGTTGTCACGTTACATTCGAGTCATTTATTTGAGTCGTGCATGTTCTGTCATCAGCCTTGTTATTTGAATTGTCGTGTGCTGTTAGGAATGAAGTGGGGTAGCACTTTGGATGGTGTATGCGTACACATGATAATGACAGCGGAAAAACATTACCGGTCTGGGATACACGGCCAATTAACGCCGAGCCGATTAAGCCAGCGAATTTTCGCACCCGTGCCAAGGTTTGAAGTACGAGAGCCCCAGCCATCGATGCGCGTTGGCCAACTGCAGTGCTATTCAGCCAACTCAGGGTTTCACGTTCTTCAGAGTTGACAAGATGCCGTCTTCGAAATACGTGGGTCCGGGGCCCATATAGACACTGGACAAAGATCATCCGCATGGGGCGTTATTACGCCGCAATATACAGACTACCATCCTGATGCTGGCCAACGGCCTCGCTGTCTTAGTTGGCCATCCTGTGCAGGGTCACGGAACAAGGTTACACATGCAACGCTCGGATGTCATGGAGAGCTTGTATAAAGAGGGAGAGGAGGGGTACTGTCCTCCATTGAGCCACTCACCGCCCTTTGTACACAACCACCATGTCTAACAACGCTGCATACACCAACAGCGATAGGTACACAATGACTTCACGGACGAAGTAAGTGTCTTCAATATCCGATGTCCTGGTTGATTTCGACTACGCACCTTACCGTTTCCAGGACGCTTTTATGCTCATCAAGATTGCTACGTCTCCAGAGCTCCGGCTCCATACATGTCACTGGGTGGATAATGCCACGAGTTGCAGGAGTGACGTTTCTGGACAAAATTTTCCTGCTCATTTACGCGAGCGTCACGGCATCACAAATGCGGACAATCGGCAGATAAAGTGTCGTTGGGACGGCTGCAGAGAGTATGTCCCAGGCGCGAACATGTTTCTGCACATTCAGCAGAGGCACATCGCGTGGGTGTACCCGTGCTACAATTGCGGGTTGGAATTCGCCCGCCCGAATACGCGTAACTCTCACTTTACTCAGTGCAGGAACGCTGGGAACTGATATTAGGGTGCTGCTGAGTGTTTGAGGGCTGCGCCCTCATCGAACGATCCCAATACTCGCTTTTCCCCCCCGCTCTCGTTGTAGTTTCGGTGATTTGGAGTGTGGAGGCTTTTTTTCATTGATAGTAGAAAATGTTCTTCTTGGATCTATGCTATACTGTTCTCGCTGTTCACGTGTTTAGTTCATACTTTTGATTCCATGCTGTTTTTCACGGACACATTACCTAGTGCGACCGGCGGAGCGGGTTTACCTTTTCTTCCCACCCCACTAGAAGGGTGAATTCGAAACGCGACAACGCATGCAGCGCGAGGATCGCCACAACGATTTAGGATGCTTCAAGGTCTCGTTGTGATGGCAGGCGCAGAATTTCTGTGGCTGTCATGACGGAAGCCAGGCTGAGTTTCTTTAAGAGCCCTGGCCATGCTGTATACAGGAGGCTTTGCCTGGCCAAGCACTTGGCTGGCCGCCCTGCCTGCCAAGCTGTGCAAGCGGAGCCCCGCGGAACGAGTCAGCCTGAATTAGATACGCTCAGACGTGACCAAGACGGCGAGGCAGTTGGCCTCCGCCTTCTAGAAATTTTGAAAAATCTGACAGTTCCGGTATAACTTATGAGGCTCAGTCGTTGCCTAATAATAATTACCGGCGCCGCTCACCTTGCAATTCGCGGCTGTAGTAAGTTCGATGAGATGAACGCCGTCAATAATCATTTTTTCTGATACAACATGTGGAATGGATACCGGTCCACGGTGCCAATGGCGGGGTTGGTGTCGTGCGGTGATATCATGATGCGAATCACGACCTTGCACCTCCAAGTCTTTTCTCCGCAGAAAGTTACGCGAGGTATGGTGAGTACACCTACACCCAGGTGGGGGTAGGTAAGAAACAGCGACCACGTTGGGTCTTTTGCCATCCACATGGTCAACTCAAAGAAAAAAATTACTCGGATACGGGGAATCGAACCCCGAGCTGCCGCGTACAAGTCCCCTCACACCATGAGAGGCGGCAATGTTAGCCATTACACCATATCCGACTCATACAAGTGGTATCGGGAAGCGAATGACAAGGACGTGCTAGCACACATTCCAAGTGAACTTCACGTATGTGCCGTGGCTCGTGAATGGACTCTTCGACGGGGATTTCACCAGGCGTCGGTCATCGAAGCAGCTTGACCAGTCACCAGACGTCTTGCATGGCTGAACACCGTCTTAGATTGTCCTGGACAGGAAGCAACCACCAGTGGTACCAGTCCCTGGAGGCACTCTTGACTGCAACATCCATCGCAGCCCAGTCCTACGTCCTCCGCTGTCGAGAGCACCATAGACGAGATTGCCCGTGCAACAGCCCCGTTTGGTGTACGACCTCCATTTCACCCGTGATGGTGCACTCGCACTCAAGAGTGTCTTGACACAATCAATGCCTTCAGACAACACGGACACCGGGTCACTCTGACGCGACATCCAAAGTCCTGGAGAACTGCAGTATCTAGACACCTATTAAACTCGTATGGAAGCCGGCACGAGATGTCCTTCGCGAGGCTGAATCCTGGGGTGCTCTTGAAACAGAGGTTACGGCTCTCCTGGCCGAAAATACGCTCGGGCCGCTTCCAGACTATCGGCTTCAGCCAAGTTAATGCCGATGTCTCGTCAAGCCGCAGGCACCCCAGCCACAACACAGGAACCCCGTCGTGCTCTACTGACATCTCTTGCCAACCAGCTTGAGGCTGCCATATCACCTGATCTAGTGCGAGCCATCACGGCTAACGATGTCGAATCGTGTAAATCCCTCTACGCCATATTCGTCGACATTGAGCGTGAGGGTGAGTTCCGGAACTACTACTACGGAACACGGCGCACCGCTTTAGTGGAAATGTGGAACCAGACAATCTTGGACGGTGAATCTGCGCCCACCGGAACACAAGAGTACCAGCAAGCCCAGAGGAGCTAACTTCATTCTATCCAACGTTCCTCTCTGCGTTCTTGTCCATGCTTAATGGAGAACGCCACTCCGTTTCAGCCATCTTTCCAGATCCGGAGCCTACGCTGGCGTTCCTCATCCACAACACGCTCACTGCCCTTACACCTTCACCTGGTCAACGTTTTGCGGCGCTTCTCCACGGCAATGCCGGCCCTACTGCCTTGAAGGACATGGTGAAACTGTTTCAGGTTACGGAGGAATTCGCCAAGGGGACGGAAAGGATCTTGGAAAAAATGCGTGCATCTACTCCGTCTGCAATGTCCGTGGCATCCCCATCATCTTCAGGTGAAGGTGGCCTATCCCGGCGGCGCTCCATGCGCATGTCGATGTCATGGCGGTCAACGAGCAGCTTCTCTGGCTCAGCAAAGCAGCAAAGTAGTTCCAGCGGGATAAGTGTAGTCGACACTGTGGAGTGGGACCAATGCCTCTTCCAGCCCTTCCTCGATTTCCAGGTTGACTTCGGCACTCTTGAGCGACGATTGCTGGAAGAAGCACTCGGCCCACCAGTCCTTAAGTCACAGGGTGCAACGGATGGTGATCGCGCTGCTCGAGAAATGCGTGAACGCGCCGTCGACGTGTTCAGTGCTGCGGAAGAGAGTATCGAGAGGTGCATGACCTTCACCCACGGGTACGCGTCGGTCGGTCTCGTACGTGCACTCGATGGCTATGTATGCACTTTTGTGGACGCGTGGACGAACTGCGTCGTCGACTGGGCGAACGCGAGCTCAGTAACGAACACCAGTGCTCTCTCGTATAGCGGGGCTGAAGACGAAGAGTTTGCTGATCTAGATTATACGTCACAGGATTGGGCACATATCCAGCGTGCTTTACATCTTCTTGCTGCAGCCCAGGCTGTCAAAGAGCGTCTGGGAGTATTTGAGACACGTCTCCGAGGGGCCCTGAGCCAAGTGGCTATGGCCTTCCGTGCAGCAGTGAACGGACTTTACACTCCTGGGGTAACAAAGGAGAAGGCGTATTACTAGCCCAGTCTACATTAAACTCTGTGGAGTTGAGTGACCTGTTCTCTCGAGTCCTGCAGTCGACGTCCACGCGAACGTCAGCTATGGCTCCCGTTTTGTTACCTTCAAGTCATTCTGCCATCACGTCCTTCGCTCGTGCCAACCAGCGTACCTTACAACGTGTTCTCCTCTCTCCCCTTTTCGTACACCTCAATGGCTACTCTTCACTGCCCCTCTGGTCTGCCTCACGCCAAGAACCCGTGCCAGGGCTCCAAGGTGTCAACATTCCAGCATTCTCCTTGAGCCCAAGTGAAACTATCCAACGTGTTGGTGACGGGTTACTCAACCTTCCGAGATTATTTGAAGTCTACGCCGAGGACGATGCGCTCGGATTTGAGGTAGAATCCTTGACTAAGGGGGACGGCCCTAGCCCTGGTCTGGGGGACGATTCGAGCGCAATTCAAGCGGAGCAGCTCCACTCCCTGGAGGCCGTCACGGCTGCATGGCTCTCCTCTCTTGGCAGAACCATGCTAGCGCACTTGACCCGGAATATCTTGCCACAAATCAGAGTATTGACTGCTGCTGGCTCTGCACAGCTCGCGGCCGACTTAGGCTACCTGTCCACTATCATTCGTGCCCTTGGTGTAGAAGAGGGGGATTTGGAACGTTGGAGAACTTACGTTTCGATGGGAGACGAAGCAGGGCGAGCAGAACACTCGGCATCTGAAAGCGCGGATGACGTTCTGAGACTAGTTGCAAAAATGCGAGGATGGTTGTCGTAATGCTCATTACATATTAGTAGACCCATCCGTACATGCGTTGCAAATTAGCTTTGATATACAGCAACCAGACATCGCAAAACTAAACCAGGATATATGGTACAGACTAACGAAGCAACTAGTCCATAAAGGCGCTTCCTCTCGCCCCCTATCGAGCATACGGGTGAAAAGTATGCCGTACGCGATTTGGCATTCTGGAGGGTCCTGGTCCAGAATTCATCGGCATCGCACCTGCATTCGTGCTCATACCCATCATGTCTCCCATACTCATGCCCATGCCCTGCCTCATTCGCATGCCGACATTGCCCATACTCATTCCTCCAGCTGTACCGGGCTGCATCATGCCCATCGCCATCGGTGTAGCCATTCCCATACGCATTCCCATCGGATTCATCGCTGCCATCATCGGGTTTACCCCTCCTCCCATCATCCCCATGCCGCCCAAGCCCATACCACCAAAGTTGCTCATCCCCATCCCCATACCTGTGGCACCCATGTTCATGCCTCCCATACCCATACCCATCATCATCGGGTTCATCATTCCTACAGATCCAGTACCGCCATTAGCCATGGGCATCTGGCTCATCATGCGCTGGTACATCATCGACGCCGCTGGGTTCACAGCCTGCTGCGGATTGAACGTCATGGGCGTCACAGCTGAATTACGCGCCTCTTGGTCACCGTAGCCATCACGACCATTTGCGTTCCGCGCCTGATCGCGCTGGCTCCGGGGTTGGGCCATCTTCACTTCAATCTATCAGAAAACCGTTAGATCCCCACATAAAAACATGCAATATACAGGATGATCCTGACCTCTTTATCATCCAAGACGAGTCCTAGTTTACCAACAAAGCGCTCCTGATTACTCGAGTCTTCGAACGTGACAAATCCGAAGCCCTTGGATCGACCTGTCTCGCGGTCGACCATAACCGTGGCATCGACAACTTTTCCAAATGCAGAGAAAAAGTCGCGCATGGTTTCCCCGGTCGTGGCGTGCGAGAGTCCACCGACAAAATATCGCGTATTTCGTAGATGTTCTTCTCGTGGTATCGCCCGCTTAGGGTCGATCTGCAAAAGATGATTGTCAACCATTGACGAAGACAGTGAACACGGTTCAACCAACAGTTTTCCCGTCCAGCGAGTGCTCCTGCGCGAGGACAGCATTTACAGATTCTGGTTCCTCAAACGTTAGGAACGCAAAGCCCCGTGACCTTCCGTCAGGATCACGCATAATTGTGCAAGCATCCACCTCAGTAAGGAAAACAAAGTCGTTAGTTTCGCTCTTCATGCGGAGGAACGAGCGCTTAACGAGAAAGCGCATCGTCTAATCACCTTGCCAAACCGTGTAAAGTACGTTTTCAGACCTTCTACTCAGACAGGGAATGTTGTTAGTTCGGCACGAAAGGATTCTATACGGGTAAGAGTGTATACCGTCTGTAGTGTCCCAGCTAAGTCCTCCGATGAACATTTTGCTAACGGAGGGAGATTCCGTAGGCAAGAACGAGTAGTAAGAGTAGGAGTGCAGTGAGGTGAAATAGGTGGTCGGTGGGTGTCCAGAGTGATATCGTCAAAGCGACACGTAAGTGATTAGCGACCAGAGTAGCCAAGAGTGCCAGTAAGAGTGCGTAAGAGTCATAGCGAAGAGAAAAAAAAAGCAGAGGATTAGTAGATATAACGAGTCAGTAGAGCGGAATTAAAAAGGGTGCATGTACGGTAAAGTGTCGTACGTTCACCAAGGATCAGGATACTAGCATGGGCAAAATATAACATATAACCTTCCGGGCTAAATCCACCAGACATATTTGTGGTTGCCCAGTGCTCCGCACTAGCTGTTATCATAAAGAAACGAGGTAAACTGCTCACCCTTCATCCTTCATCTCAGACGGCCGTATCGGCCGGTCAGTTCGAGAGCGGTCAGTTTCATGAGTAGCAATGGCAGATGGCCCAGATGCGGGAAGAACAAGTCGTTGTTGTCGCTCCTGACTTGGTGTCTGCTGGTATGCGGAAAATTGCTTCGCGACCTGCGCAGAGTACGACAGGCCGGATGAATCTGATGTCGATGAAGGTTTCGCAGGAAGGGAGGCGCTGTCTGCTGTCTGTGGCTTTGCCGTGGACTCGGAAATCATCTTATCATCTTCCGGTAGTACAAGTTCGAAGGTTTCGCTAGATGCTTGACCGTCGTCGTCCAACGGGATGGTAAACCCGTCATCATATAGGTCTGCGGGTAAAGGCTCCGGAGAGTGTCCAAGCATGCCAGATGCATCCTCACCTCCATATAAGTCCGAATCAGCATTGTCTTTCTTCTCCGCTACCATCCT